AAAGGAAAAGAATTGGATTGTATGAGATCGGGTACAATTTATTTACTAACATGTAAAACTTGCGGTGAAGAATATATGGACGAAACGGGTAGACCATCTCTCATCCGCATAAAAGAACATCTAGATAGTAAATCTAAAATAGATATAACGAAACCTTTAGGTTTACATAGAGCACAAAAACACAACAACAACGATTTTGATGTGACTGTCACAATCCTACGCAGGATCAAAAACATCCACGCGCAGGACTCCTGAGGCATTTTGAATGAACGCCCATAATCCCGAAATGAACCGGAAGGACGAGTGCGTCACCATCACACGAGATCTCGCGCCCTTTCTTCGTTTGATCTTCTAACTTGACCTAGGCAGCATATGAATAAAACCATCCAAATCGTTCAGATAGACTAATACTACATGCGCCCAGGCTCTGAAGAAGGCGAGTCGCCGAAACGTCAGCCGAATTTCTACGACTAATTTACCAACATAGCGTCAGCTAATCAAGATAAGTTTTCTCGATTTTCAAATAGCAATTAATTATGCCGAGGTTTATGTAAAGTCGAACTTTCGAATTGTTGTTATGAGGAAGCGTTTGACAGTGTCAGAGCAAATGTAATCCTATTAGCTCAGTCGGCCAACGTGTAGACTCGTCCTATGTATCAAGCTTAGCTAGTTGCTATGAGAATTTAGCAGTGAGATAAGACTTGTTCATCGACACCTACACTACAGTGGATGTAGGTCGCCCGATATGGACGAGAAGGGCTTACGCATTGATGGAGAATTTCTATCGTACCTTTGCTTCTCTGATGACTTCGCAGTTATTTCAATGTGTTCCATTAAGCAGAAGAGATTCTCAGTGAAAAGTAGAAAGGGAACAACGACAGGATTACGCATGAACACGATATAGACCTATGTTATAAATAATCCATGATTAAGAGGTGAACAATTTTGGTTGGATGGTTTTCTGATTGAGCAGACCACCTCGCATGTGTACCTTGAACCTTCAATGAACGTGGAGATCATCATGAAGAAGAAATTATACAGAAGAAGAGTAGTACAGCCGCATTAGAGCTATTCAGATATGCAACCAACTGGCCAGCCGACCTCATACTCAATGCTCACCTTTTCGATTCGACATCGTCCTAGCGCTCTGTTGTGCAGCAGAGACATTTGCTGATGTTACAGCTATAACAAGAAGTCCGCGTATCATTCTCAGTACGTTTGCCTCCTGAATGTCAATCTGTGCCACAATGTCTAACTGATTTGCGCAGTTCTTCCCATCGAAAACAATTTCATTTTCATGATGCAGCATTATATACGTCGCTGGCAAAACAGTGATGAGCCGATTACGCATTGTGAAGAAAGACGACAAATAGACGAAAGGGGCATAGAATGGACTTCAGCAGAACCCAAGCAACCTCGGATGACGACCGAAACAACGAGCTGATGTGCTTTTTGCTTACACCAACCATCGGCACCCGTAGATGATAATGAAGTTGAAATCATGGAATTAGTGCCGCTTAGATCACCATGTTGGAGACATAACTACACCATGGGCGATAATAGTGCGACAGAGAAAATGGAAGTTATGCTGGGCAATAACAGTAATCACTGGCTATCCAATTATCAAAAATCAAATACCAAATTGACGAAATTATAACAATGCCGCTTGACATTTTGGAGTTTGCTAAGTACCATGGAAGAGACTACAGGCCAAAACATCGTTTGCTAACTTCTTTTTTCTTCTGTCAAAGCAAAAGATAATGGCAAAAGTGGTGACGGTGCCTACAGCATGCTACAATGTTGATCGGAGTCAATAGTAGAAGAGTAATACGAGTCTCTCGTGATATTTGTCGTCAGTACTGGGAGCCTATTTGATGGTCCTACCAATTTTCGCCTCAGATAAATGTCAAGTAGTCGAGACGTACTAATCTGGAGGAAGCTCGCACTATAAACAGTGGTCTTAGACAGATATCAGCTACATTTTTTTGCTGGAAAGCACACAGGTATATTATTGCATTTACCTGCTTTTATGATTGGTTCGATTCGAGCGGCCGATGCACCAGAACATGGCCGTAGTTCGGGGATGATTATAGTAGTACCGAAGTTGATTAATAGCTCGAAATACAGAAGCCTGATTTAGAGCTTTATTTCAACGCTAAAAAGTTCCCGATTAGGGTAAAAATGCTGAGCTTTCCATTGATTTGCCAAGTATTACTTTATTTATTCTGCTACAGAACAAATTCTCAATTTCAACGAATAGTTTATTCTAATAAAAACAATACAATAACTTTGAATTATGTCGAAGAACGTGTTAGAGCAATGAAATATCCCGGCTGACGCAGATGTTTTTGCACATCACTCTGCGTTATTGGGTTCGTTCTAACATCATAATGCCGCAATATGTGGTCAAATAAAATAAATTCTGAGCAATAAAATAGTTTTTACTAAATGAATAATACAACGTTTTGGGCAAAGAGCAAGGGGTATAAGCGAATATGAAGAAAAAAAATAGACAGCGATAGAAAATTTATGGAGAATTTTGTGTGTATTCCCACGAGATACACGAAAACTCGTGCTAAGTAATAGATTCATAAAAAAGTACTCGAGAGAACAATAGATTAACGTGTATTTAAAGTTGAATTGAAATACGCGACAGTTTTTGCAGAAAAACAAGTAGATTGTTCAAGTGGATTGTGTTGCCGAGCGAGACGCTGTCACGCACATCGTCTAAAAGTTGAAGACATTAATCTAAAATGGCAAAGTAAGTACTGCACATCTTTAACTTGTAGTAGTTAATACGATGCAACTCATGCTAAAAAAAATTAGAAGACAAACCATAACGTTAGAAAATAGAAATTTGCAAAGATCATCCCTTTTATTCAACATACCCACCTAGCTTCGTCACGCTTTCCACAGCGACACCTTGAAACGCGCATCGGTTAGAGGTAGGCGACCTTCTTCTGAAATAACAAAGAAACCACAGGAGACTGTTGATTTGTAGAAACTAGTACTATGCATACTCGCCTGAATATTGCTTCCGAATCACGGAGCCGAGATATTCGAGCCTTCACAGCGGCTGCCAGCGATTCAGCCTTTGTTCTCTTTGTCCTTCGTCTTTTCGTTATCTTTAGTTTCTGTTTTGATGAAGAATTCCTGCAGCACCGACTTCTTGATGGATGCCTTCTTCAAACTGCTTTGGATCTCCTTTACGAAATGAAACGTGTTTTCACGAAGTTATGAATTATTGCTTCCGCTTTCCTGACGAAGTGCTGAAGCTCAAGTTCCCGTTCGATCAATTGGAGTTTCGCTCTGGCGAAAACTAATCTTTCCTCCTTGCATACTCGAATTTGTGATATTGCGGAAAGAACCAGCAACAACGTTATAACGTCGAATTGCGTTAGTTTTTGTCCACATCAGCAACAACGCAAAATTGACAAGCAGCTTCTTGCTCCATTGTTTTCACCCTCAATGTACCAACTATATCGGAGACAGAAAATTTCAAAGTGATTTTCTAAAGATCTCTAGAATACCGAAATTTTGGCGCCAAACGATGAAAATTTTTTTGACACGAATGTGTGCATTTGAGTATCAATTGAAAGTGCTCCTTTGAGTATTCTAGGTAAAAAAAAAGCTGTCTGAAACTTGAGGAATGCTCCTAATCACCTGTTAAAACTGTGTTCAATCATTCTTTCGGAACGGATCCTTGTTCGCTGTTTACTTAGACTTTTAGTTATCACCGGATAGCTTAAATCTTGGAAATTTCGATGTCCTTGTTAATTTTTGAGAGCCTTGCTAACACGCTAGAGCAGCAAGCATAAAATTAAATTTCACCTTCAGCACGCAATTTGTTCTCTGCTAGAGTTTCAAAGCAGCTTATTAACGGAATTTTGATATATAATCGGTAACCCAAAAGTTGGTGATTCTGGAGAAAAATATTGTGAGTCAATGCACTTTTCATTTTTGGTAAATTTGAACAATCTCTTCTGAGGCCGCTCTTCTAAATATCATTGCGCAATAACTTCAAACTTACTGAATCTCCTTTTCATCATCTGAAAAGACAATCCGTGGAGTGCCGTCATTACACGTCGACGGTGACCGCACAAGTGCTCTGTTTCAGTCTGAAACGACCTATCCAGAATGCCAAAGAAGTGACAGCGAATGATAGACACTGGGATACCTATTTGTAGTTCAAATAACAGGTATCTCTGCACTACGAACACTAAAAGACATTTGGACCGTATGATCTACACAACTGATTATAGAAGGTTGTCTCGCACTGTGGTTTGCGGTTCTCTGAAATACACGAGATACCGTTGGCTCAATCTCACGCCCTGGCTCACAAAGCCTTTCATCGCGCCAAGGTCGAGAAAATGCAACGAGATATATTTAGAGGTATAGTTGCAAAAAATTCGTACATCGTTAGGCCACCACAAATTATAGTATAGGCTATATGTCCATTCACAAACCTCTGACAATATTCATAAAGTCGGATGCACGATCTATTCTCTAGGAACTAATCAGCTCAAACGCTCCACGCTTCATTTTTCCTGATAAGCAGTTTAAGCAGAACTTTTCACGAAAACAAAGCGCGTGATAGGAGATCTATTACAATCTGCTGCTTACTCGCTGCGAATACGGGAATTGCGTGCTGCTCCACGAAGCTGAGCAGCACGTTGAACAGCTGCTTGTGATCAAGGCTGCCTGAGTGTAGCGCACTCCTGAAATTGACCTATTTCGAAACATCAGATTTAGTAAAAGTCAGAAACGTACGTTCTTCTTCTCATGTTTTCTGCATGACATGTCATGCCCATGCGTTAAAGTGATGATTGCATTTCGTGCAGCGCCAGTTGAGATTGTTGCTTGATCTGTTAGAAATTGTACACTGTAAATTCATTTGCTACATGATCGACTGTTTTATGGAAATTTGTATTTACTGCATTTTTTGCAGTGTTATTATGTTCCATATAGACCTAAGAGAATTGAATGATAAGCAAAAACGCGGCCTCAAAAGGGAATCGAACCCACGTTTCGTCTTCTCCGGGGACGCGTGCTCTACCACTGCACCACCAAGGCACATTTGCCCTGTCACTCATGTTTCAACATCTCTATGCTAGGGTATGCAATTTCCCTTCATAAACCCAGCTGAAGTTTCGAGTTTAAGTTAGTGCAATGGCAGGTAGAGTCCCTGAGTCTGGAGCGAAAATTAGCCGTCTCTAATGGCTACAACACGATAATAGCTTTTCAGGTTAGAATTAGAGGAAATTCGGCGCTCTTATACGGAAGGTCTAGCGAGGTTAAAGTTCCATTTATCCTGCCTTCTATTTCCAACAAAGTGCAGCCATTAAACGCTGCTTAAAAAGAGCAGGTTTAGATAATTCAGTAGCAGTAGTCGAGATAGCGCCAAAAACACTAAAACGCCAATTAGTCCGCAACCGACTGTACGATCGCCTTGCGAAACCAACGACTGCAAAGTTGGTTCAAACGGCAGAGACGGCGACTGCACGAGGTCGGGTACAATTACCTAATCTCTTGCGAGGCATGCGGGGATGAATATATTGGCGAAAAGGTTGCACCACTCTGCATCCACGTAAAAGAGCACCTAGCTGGGAAACGTAACTCCGACCCAGAAAACCCCACTAGGCACGCATACGGAGCAGAAGCATAAAAAAGCAGATTTTGACGTTAAATTCACGGCCTTGCACAGAAATCAAAAACATCTACACGTTAAACTTTGGAAGCCTTTTGGATACATAGCAAAGGCCCAAAAATGACCGCAAAGAGGAGCGCTTCGTAATAACGCGTGACCTCGCACCATACCTCAGGCTGATAATACCGGCCTGAGCCAGGCACAGGCACTTAAGCACAGACTCCAAATAGCAGGTCTTCAGTGATTAATTGAAAGACCTAAAACATCTAAGCGGTGAGCGCTATTGAAATAACGTTTTTCCTATGCGACCCAAAAAATTTATTTCTTACGTTTTCTGCTGGGGTTTTGAAGGCATTTGATTTAATAATTTGCGAATCAATTTGACCTTTCCACGCTCTGAAGATGGCGAACTTTGCCAAAACGTAACCCAACACGACTTTTGTAATATTCATGCTGCATTATTGACTGTATTGTTATATGTTACGCTGATATTCAATAGATAATATCAATAACACCACGGAGAGGCTAAACAAAAGAAGACACTCATTTATTCAAAGTTTTTATATTTAAATTGATAAATACCTTACAGAAAGGTTAGATTTCAAACTGCTAATGAACTATTTATGCCTTTTTTCGTGTAGTGATCCAAAATTAATTACATTTCCTTCTCAAAGTTCTTCAAGAGAGTATCAAAATCACGAAGAGGCCCTTGTCTTCGCAGACACTCGAACTGTTACGTCATCGTGGAATCGCACTAGCTATAATTATATTAAATCATACGTCAAACTTGCGAACAGCTGCAGAGAAGCGATAAAAGAGGACCATGAAGAGACAAACAGCGGTTATGGCAGAAACTGCAAAAGTTGGGAAGAGTTTTTACTAAGCAAAGAGAAGCTTCGCCAACTGCAAGACCAAGGTGATTGCACACCGAACGCCCTGACGGGACACATACAGGTTCCAGAAGAGCATTGGAGAAATCATCTATGAGTACTACTCGGATCTCTTCGCTAGCCATGTCCACATACGATAATATGAATTGAAACAGGATGAATGTGTCGTTTCGCCGGTACCTCCTTCTAAAATCCGACTTGCTATATCGTCGGTCAGTATAGAACAACACCCGGTCCAGACAGGATTAGACCAGAACACTTGAAGAATTCACTGCCAGTTCTCATCAACACCAAGGCTCGGCTCTTCACTTGCTAACTCTCAAAAGCAAGGCTCCCAATCAACAGAAAACTTATAAGACAGTGCTGTTGTTTAAAAAGGGAGGCCTTCACGACATCGGCGATAGTTGCTCAATCTGCTTGTGTCCGTTGTCTGTAAACTCTTCACTCGAGTCACCCTAAAAAGTATGGAGAGAACATTGGACGAAGGACGGCCATGCGAACAAGCAGGGCTCCGAAAAGGATATAGTGCCATAAGCCACATCTACACGATTACAAAATTTCTTGATGTTTCGCGAAAGTACAATCTACCGCTCTGTTTCACTTCCATCGATTTGAAAAAATACTTAAATCAGAGGAAACATGACCGGTCATAGAGGTTCTGTATAACCAGGACGTCACTACTTGGTACATAACTACCCTTCGTGAGCTATATAAAAAATTAACGACCAAAATATCACCATTGTACAAAATTATTACCCTCAACGTAAGTAGAGAGGTTGGACAAGGAGATACAATTTGGTTAAGATTATTTACTGCCACCCTCTAAAACGTCATGAGAACATTAGAATGGGACGGGATAGAAGTGAAAATTGACGGCCTCCAATTGAACCATCTTCGCTTCACTGATGATATTGTCTTCGTGACACGAAGCAGTAGCCAAGGGAAACGAATGCTGACAGATTTTGACAACACCCGTGTAAAGATTAGCCTTCAACTGAATCTAACGGCTCATAAGGGACGGATGGGTTTTGAATGCCCCATTTAGGCTCAACGAAATGAACATTTCCAAATGCTCCAGTTGCTCTTATCAAAATTGTGAAGTCAGCATAATAGGCGACCTAGCTTCAGATTTGAGCAGGAGAAAACAAGCGGCATGGAAAACGTGAGAGCATCGAGGATGTGGTGAAGAAGAGAAAGTCATCCAACACCGTGCCCACCTTCTTAACTCGACTATTATCCCTGCCCTAACAATGGAGCAAAAATCTCATCGTTACGTAAGCAGCATGAAAGATCACTTGACGTCAATGCACGAGATCCGTGGCAATCTTCTCGGGGTCGGGAATCTGCTACCAGACAGGTTTCAGACTAGCCTGGGAGGATAAGCAGCATTGACTCGGTACAGCGGAAGGACACCGCGAGTCATTGTGAAGGCCAGATATGCATCCAATCACCAAACGAAGTTAAAAATTGAAGAAGAATACATGGCGCATCACTTAGGGATTGATCTACACCGAGAGCTTTATCCTTTTAGCTTGTCTGTGTATATATGTATATATATCATAAATGCACCCAAGAGCAATCAAGTATACAACATCACCGATCTAATGATTTCCTTCACGTGACGGCACGTTTAACTAGTACGCCTAGGCCTACTCTATGTAAGGGGTTGGGTTTTCCCGAGAGAATCGGATAAGACGAAGGGCATCTCTCAACGGGCGAGCTGTCAATCTCAAGCACGTGTATTGGATTGAATATAATAGAAAACATGTATGGCACGGAAATAATTGTCAAGCATATTTTTTCATCAGTCTGGCCAATTTATTAAAGTCTCTGCTCAGTTTTAGTTTAGAACCTGTTTATAACTATGCTTCTACTTTAGATGTGTTCAAGTTATGGATCTCAGAAAACCAACGCATTGCAGTAGATGAGGTGTACAAGATGTGAATGGAAATTAAAGCGAAATTCGACTGGTTGAGACAAACGAGTGTCTATAGAGCCGTAAAACGTTTCAGAGAGACTGGAGTGATTGAGAACCGCCCTAGAAAAAGTCGTCCAATTACATCGTATACTCCGGAAAACATTCAGAAAATCCGCTGTCAAATACAACGAAAATCGAAGCGCACGATGCACAAAATGGCTCGAAAAGCTCGGGATTAGCATGTGGAGCAGCCACAGTATTGTCAATAGAAGGCTGAAGCTGCGTAAATGCAAAATCTCGTGTTCACATAATGGACGAAAATATGAAAGAAGAACGGCTTTCAAAGGCTCGCCTACTGCTCCATCTAATCGTTGGTGTTCGTTTGTCTAGCCTGCTTTCTACGGATGAGAAGATATTGGCGGTTAAAGCATCCCACTATGGTCAAAATTGTGGTTAACTTTTCAAGAACGGTCAGCAAAACTTCGTAGCGGCAAAAACCACGGACCGAAGTTATTACCCGGGCTCTGCGACTGCCTGCGTCGGGATTCACGTTGCCGGAATCTTCATCAGCAGAAAGGTCAACATTGCCATTTATCAACAATTCAATTCACACAGACGTCGCACGGAAAAGGCGGCTGTTCAGCTAGCACAAATATGATGCCAGTAAAGTGTTTCCTTACACTCAAGCATTGCGATAATCACATTCTTTAACGAGGTCGCATCGTTACGCTTTAGTTGAAGAATTGCTAACCCCGAAATTCGCGGTTTACGAGTGTTCAATCTCATGGAAAGCAAAGTGATCAGTTCTAGCTGATTTTGAAGCAGCTAATACGATGCAACTCATGCTAAAAGGAATTAAAAGATAAACCTAAACATCAGAAAATAAAAATTTACAAAGATTATTAGTCTCATTCACCATACTCACCTAGTTTGGTCGCGCTTCGTAGGGCGAGACGCTGAAGCGCGTGTCGGCAGGATGTAGCCGACCACTTCTAAAATCACAAATCAACTACTGTTCAAATCAAAATCACAAATCAACTACTAGAGATGTTCAATTTATAATAGCTGATACGGTGCAACTCATGCCACTAAGAATGAAAAGACAAGTCGGTGCTCTATAAGCATAAAGTTTCAAACTTTCGAGCTTATATCAAGACATTTTCACGACCTTTTTCCTGACGGCCGCATGTAGCCAATATTTTTAAGGCCGCAATAGAAAAGCAGCCTCTCAAAAACCTGGCAGTGTTGATGCAAAAGTAATCAAGAAATGACCTGAATTAAAATGCAGCTTCTTTGTTTCCACTGTCTTCATCCACAGTGTGCCAGCTACAACGGAGACATAAACGCAAAATAGTATCTAATGATCTCTACAATACCGAAATTTTGAAACGAGAGAATAAAAGTTTCCGTTTTTTGACATAAAGCTGTGTATTTCAGGATCAGTTGGAAGCGCTCCTACGAGTATTCCAAGAAAAAAATGTCTAAAATTTGGAGAATACTGTAAGTACCAGCTAGAAACTGTGCTGAATCACCCCTTCAGAAAGGAGCCTTTTTCGCTGTTTTTTTGGACTTCCAGTTATCATTCGATAGCCTAGATCTCGGGAATTTCGATGCCTTC